CGTTACCGCGCGATGTGCAAGATAATGTAATCCGCAATGCTCTCTACGACAAATCGGGCCAGTGCCATTTATTGTCCTACATTTGGAGATCGTAGCACACCGGTCACCTTTCACCATCTATGCGATGCATTTCGAATAAAATTCCTCGGGCGCTCCCTATGATACACGATTTTCAAAGTCGGTATATAGGTTTGGACAATGCCGGGTGTTTGTTACTTCAAGAAATCATTCACGTGCGAAGGAAGCTAAGCACAGATAATCGCCCTCAACATTTTTGTATTAAAAATTAGCTAATTTAAATATACATTTATGCGATATATAATATAAAAGTATATATAAAATATATATAAAATTAAAAAAAATGTATATATCTATATTTAAAAATGTATATATATTCTTCACATTTTATATATTTATTTTACATATATATAAAACACATATATACGTAACGGTATTTATGATATTCATTTTGCGAGAGATTGAATGTTTAGTGAGTCATTGCTATCACGTTCCGCGCTTGTGGGTCAATACCCATCTCCGTTCGATCTGTGTCGAATTTTCGAGCAGAGCGACGCTCGAGAGACTCGGGTCTTTAAAATCCGCGTCCTATTTTCCGAATTTAGCGTTCACGTCCCTTATGGATTTTTATCTTGCCATGATATATTCGGTATAGCTGAATAATCTCATCAGAGAGGAATGAAATACTTTATTGAACGTCTGTGTTTTCTATTTTAAATATTTCTCTTTACCCGACTTTCTTTTTAAATATTCTTACGGAGATCCCTTTAGTGCCATAAAGGATTCCGAGTGCCGAGCAAAAGCACGTTTTTGGCGAGCAAAAGTTTTATATATTTTTTTTCTCGGAGGCTTCGCTAATGTCTCCTCTTCAGGACACTCTGTATGTAACGCAATACTGCAGGCGTATCTAATATGGGGACGCGAGTTCGTGACCTGCAAGATTGAGAACCGGTGCCGTAACGCGAAAGGTAATCATAGATGATGTACCTCGACCGGTACCGTGCCTCTGGTTAAATCGCACATTTTCTCCTTTCGACCGAGAAACAGGCTTTACGTATCGATCAGCGCGGAACTTTTCCCAGACTTGCATGTTATTTCTGGTGGCGGTACTTTGTCTCTACTCCTTGGTACTACCTTGGCTGCATATCCCTCTGCTGACTATACTTTCTTTTCTCTTAATGATTTTCGCTCCGTTCGATTCCATCGAACGAGGATTCTTCGCGTCGTTGGTCGACCGCGAAATGAAATATTAATGAAGGTGAATGGAAAAAGGCAGGTGCAATCTGGATGAGGACTGTTACACGCATAGTTTAACGTTTAACTCCTTCCGTGTCGTCGGCGACGATATGCGGGCGTGTAACAACGTGTTAACGGAAAAGCTCTCGCCTACTAATTTACACGGGTATTATCTTGGTCTCTTTTTCGACTTTAAACGTGCTCTCTTCTAAACGGCTTTAACAATTAATGTAAGCGCATGAACGCGTATTTACATCAGACTCCTCGTACTTTTGCTAATGCATATTTTCATGCGAACAGCGTTCGGTGCCGGGACAAGGTTGGCGGATCTATATGGGGCAATGCGTGTCTCGTAAGGCGGGCGCCGTCGTCGCAGCATCCGGTCATCACAACTCGCCCTCGTACCGTATCATGGACAAGGCCCAGAAACAGGTAAGCTTCACTCTGTCTTTATATCTGCGCGATATCGTCATAGTAGAGCTTCAAGTGATAAAAGCGTCGTCTATATACCGTCGATGGACGTTGAACTTCAAGGTCCGCGTTCACCGAGTCGACGTCGAGCGTGTCCCTGATGGCTGTTGCCGTTATTGCATTTACGCAATATATCCACGAGGGATCGCGTATCTATGTATGTACGTCTGTGCACTAATGCCAAGTATCGCGTGTATAGGTATACTCGGATGTACGCGCGGCGTGTAGCGGAAAATCCAGCTGATTGCGCGGGCGACTAGGCTGAAGGCCACGTTGAGGTTCAACGCCCTTTCTCAAACGCGATTCCACCCGCAACGGGATCGCGCTTCACCCGCGAATAGATCATTCGCGCGTGCAATGTCTGCCGTGTCCGCGTGTCGCCAAATGCCTCTTCCGTCGATCGTTCTGTTCCTTTCCGTAAAAATGAAGCTCGCGGCGACGCGTGACCGAGTATCGCGTTGAAAATAATTCTCGCTATCTTTCTGCATCCACAATGTCCATTTCCACCAATGCAGATTAATTTTAATCTCGGTTCAACTTACCTTTTGTCTTTTTTTGCAATTCTTTATACAACTAGAAAGTAAGTTAAATTGAGATTAAAGTTAATCCGCATCGGAAGAAACGGACATAAGAGCGCCAATTTTATTCAGCACGATCGAAATGTTCTCGAGCTTGGTTTCGACGATAGCCAGATATTACATTTGTTATTATCGAATCTTCCTTCGGGGGCGATTATTCGCGATGTTGAAGTCTACACTTTCGATGTATACGATTTGCAGATAAGCAAGACCGCGTAATCGCTCGCACGCTCGAATGCCTCCACTAACAATTAATCTAAGAAAAGTTCGACTGTCGAACGTATCTCAATGTATCCTGTAAGTTATGCCGATCTCCACTTTCGCGGCACGCGTTAACTTTCTCATGCACGAATCGCGACGAATTAATTATCGTGGAACGGACGTGACGTGATGAAACAAATCGCTTTAACAGTGATTACCGTTGCCTCGCCATCGTAGACTCGCTCTACCTTGTTCAGTGCTCGACGCACTGGCGTATATTATAAATATAGTCTTGTAGGAAATATCTTAGCATATTCGAATTTATTGTTTGCGAAAAAGTGCGCAGTTTTAAAAATAATCTGTAAATGCCGAAGAGTCGACTCCGCGTCTCTTCGCATCCCGACGAAATCAAGTTAATTCGCTCGAATTTTAGCATTCAACTCCTTTAAATTCTTTACGCACGCGGATTGTCCGTTGGCGTTCATTCGTCGTCGCCGGCTTTCGTGAGCGGGGCGATTCTGAAACAATTCCAAGTTTCGTTCTTTTAACAGGACCCTCGTGCCCCTTGTGAGAACTTGAGCACTCGTTCTGGAGATACGCCGCGCGATTCGCGCGGCCGATCTCGTTTCGGCCGACGACGACGTACATGTGCTTTCCATTGTTCATCGTCACGCGTCACGCGTGCCGGTTCCACGGCAGCCCCGCGCCGGAAACCGGTGCGGTGAGGCTGCTGGAGGATGCCCCGCGGAGAGAACTCGGCGCGACTGGCGCGTGCACGGTTCAGGTGCGAAGAAGGAGAAATCGCGGAGAGAACTCTCCGTCTTTTCTCCCCATTGTTTCTTCTCCCCGCGTTGCCTCGCCTTCCCGCGCACGGTCGTGCCGATTCGCACGCGGCGTGATCACACGCCGGATCGAATGCCGCTTCTTTCCATTGTTTCCCCGATGTCCTCTCATTAGAGACTGGCGTTTTTGACGGCAGATCTCCTCCGAGATGTCTACGTCCAGAACGGAAGCGCCTCTTTTCCTTCAGTGAAACGGTTGCGCGCGAGAGTTTTGATGAACTACGTGGACGAAGAAGTTCACTCGATTCATTTCGATCGCCTGGACTTTTGCGTCTGTCCACGAAGCCTCCTTTGTCCATGGCGTTATCGCGACGTAAAGCGCAAAGGCCTCTCTCTTATCAGCAAAATCGATTACAAAGATCTTGGTTTGAAAAAAAAAGATAATAAAATGAAATTCGAGTTTACTAGGAAACCTTTATCATATCAATCCACTGATTGCATCTTTCTTTCGTCATAAGATAAGTAACTTTCATAGAAAAAATCAATATAAGATAATTCAATGCTAAAATATGAGCAATAAAGAATGTTACCGTTATATTATTCTATAATTTATCTCAAATGTTAGACAAAACATTGTGGATGTTTCGACTGTACTTTTTCACAATAATTTAAACAAAGAAATTGTGAATTACGATGTAAACGGGCATAATATGAAAAGGATTACAATTAAACAGATCTAACATGATATATAAAAATGAATATTAGCTTCTATAGACTTAGCGTTACGTAATCAAATAGTCTGGCTTATATCTTTGTTTCTTAATTCAGATTGACTCGTGCTAGCTTAATGTGATTCTCGTAATTCTTCCCGATGAAGTCGTTAAAGCCGTTCGCGCGAAGGAAATCGCTTCGCTTCGTCGGTTTCGCGTAATCGTCATCGTGCTGCGAACTCCTGCTGATAACGATGCGCCACGATCTACGCGCATTCAGACGCGTCGTTGAATCATCCAAGCCGTATACAGGGTGCGTCCCGAATGAGAGCGATCGGTGACAGGGACGCTCTTCTTCACGGAACGTGAAATCGATTCGGTCTTCAACCCTGCCGGGAAGAGCGCGGGGATGGATCGCGAGAAATCGTTTCCAGACGCTTAGATTCAACCTGGTCCGAGTCAGGGTGCGCCTGACTGACGAAAACGGACAGCCCCTTCGAGAATCGAGCCGAATGGATTGGGCACACCTTCTCGAGGAACACCCTGTATACCCGGGTGAAAGCCGCGGGACGTGGGCGCAATATCAGCCCCTGGCTGCGTCGTATGCACGTCGGCGTCGCGACGCCGGCGCAGACGGTCGGATCGATCTCCGCGTTCGCTCTTCAAGTCTAGCACGACGAGGCCGAAGTCGCGAAGGAGCGAGCGAGACGAAGGAAGAGCGAGGTACGCGGGGGTGACGACGACCACGACGACGACGACGACGGAGGGCGACGTCGGTGAGCTGTCACACGTTCCCTCGCCGTCGTATGACATCCTTACGATGTGACGGACCACGAAGAGAGCTCTCTACCATCCTCTTCGGGCGCCTCTTCCAACAAGAACGCGTTCCCCGGTTAAAAATATATATTCGGGACATGGCGACGTAAAGCGACGGTGGGCGGCCGTCAATCCCCGTGAGAGATCGATCGACGACCGGCTGACATTGGCCCGAAAGCACTCGTCATGGAGTACCGGTGCGGCAGCAGGTGTGAGGACGACTCGTTGGAGAACGAGAAAGACACCGACGTTGCGGTAAGGGATGCCCGAGACAGAACCTCGTCCTTCCCTTCGAATCTCCTTCTCTTCACGGAGAAACTGCTCGAAGGTGCCGTGACAGTGCGCGTGACAATCGGGTGGGAATTGTCGTTGATAGCATCGACAGAGTGTCATTTATCAGGATCCCCTCGATCGCGTGTTTTTCTGTCATTTATCAAAGTCAGTATCACGTTTCACGGTTTCATGGTAAACCCGATTCTTGCTTCTGTAACTGAAAAATGATTCTTGATATCGGTTAGCCAGAAAAGTTGATAGATACGATCGAAAAAGTTCTGTACACACCTTTAACGACTCGACTCGGATTTGTAATTTCATAATTTTACAGGCGTAGTTACACACGACGATTTTATACATTCGTTATACTCCGGTGTGCAAAAAGGTACCACATGCGCGATCATCCGAACGACGTCCTCGCGGTCGATTTGCGGCTGTCGCGAAACTGTCTGCGTTGAACGCGGCGAGAGTTAGGATTTCAAGCCTCTTCACGAACGAGGCGCGAACGCGGTCCCAGATTTGTCGCGGGTTGCCGGCCGCGGTTACGCTATTTCTGGAGTTCAAACGGGGTTGCGGGCGCTGTACGATGGCTCTCGGACGGCTTCCTCAGTCGTCTCCGATCATGGACAATGCGGTGCTCGCGTGCACATTGCTCCGGAGAATCTTATCCGCGGCGGGATGCGCTATCCGCACCGCGCCGTTATATAATTCGCGTGCGAATATCGATTAATACTGTTGCAGCCGGGAACCATGCAGAAGGTTCGTCGAAACAAGCCCCGAACCGAAACCCTACGAGCGTGTGATGTCGACGCGCACTTGGCAGCTTAATACTATAAAGCAGATACTCGAAAGAAACGGAATATGAATCGAGAGCAAAAGGATAAAAGGGAAATCGTGATCAGATGGTCGAGATGTATAATATATAATCAGTTGAAAGCGAAGTTCACAATCTAGTCGAAATTCAATTAGACGGGATATCGATCTTCTTCTACGGATATAATCGCGGCTGATGCGTGACTAGGGATGATACGCTGCTGATAATCCCAGCTCTTATATCTTGATACGAAAATACTCTTTGTTTCGTGACGGCTGTAGAAACGCGATAGCGAGATCCAGTGTCCAGGCGGACAGAGCGAAGACCCATGATGACCCTTCTTCTTAATAAACTGAACGATTTCTTGCATTCCTAATAAGCGATACGTATCGAAAGAAATAAAAGATCTCTGATAAGAATGATGTGTATGTGTGTGCATCTAATTTGCTCCAATTTTATCTTCTACATTCTACAACGTTGCGTTTTGTCTTTTTCTCACGTTTACGTCATGTTCTGCATTCCTCGCTTTTTTTTACATGAACATCTTGTCTGATGGATCTCACTTCTCTAACAAAGAATCCTCGTTTCAGGGCGATCTACGGGGTTCTTCGAAACGTGGCACGTCGCATACGCGCGGCACCGCGATGTCCTTCGGCTTCCGGCGACGACCCGCTAGTGGGATTCCGATGCCGATAACGAACTATGCCGTCGGCACCACCAGCGAGAAGAGCCTGCTGCATCCACGATCAAAGTCGGCCGGTCCGGAGCAGGATCGCAGACGGATGATGGACGACGATAACAGCAACGTTCATAATTCGTCATCCGGCCGGTCGACGCCACGGCTAGCACCGCCGAAGAAAGACTCGAGCGGGATCGGCGTCAGGACGAACCGCTTCGGCTACCGACAACCGCAGGCGAGATACACGAACAAGGTCGGCGACATTTGTAACAGCCACAGCATCAGCCATTACAATCAGGAAAAGCTGCATCAATATCCACAGGAACAGCAGCAGCAATCAGAGAACTACTTTGTCAAGCAGCAACAGCCGAACAGGGTCGTCGCGCACGTGCCGCAACATTTGTGCGGCACGACGGCGCCGGCGAAATCTCGCCCGTCGCAATCAAGTAACGCGACTTACGGTAGCAATGCGATGGCGCAGCACGCAGACGCAAACAGACGAGTATCAGGCATTCCGGAACCCATTAGCAGGTATACGCTACACACCAGTCATCTGCCGCTACCGCAGTATGCCGTGCGGGTGAACGACTCAAACTCCAAGATCGCCAAAACCGCGGCAAATCAAAGCAGAAAGATATCCACGTCGAAGGGCTCGTCCAGTTCGAAGGAGGGCTCGGTGACTGAGGACTCAGGCGTCAGCAGCCAGCCGACCGGACCGGAGGACAACGATAGGATCAGATCGGTGGATTTTATGGACGACGGCTCCCTGAGGAGACGCGGTGTCGGCAGACCGAGAAATCTGCGTATGGTGGTAACTGGCAAGAGTTTTGACGTAAGAGATGTCCGTGACGACGACAGCACGGTTACGGAGATCTCGGTGATCCCGCTACCCAAATCTTTTGCCACCACTGCAGTCAATCTGAACACCGGCTTTGTGCGAGAGCGAGCCACGCAATACCAGCGAATCGTCAATAAGGACAATAGATACACCGATTCAATTGCGTCAATGTCCACCACGTCCTCGGAAGGCTACGACGAAGGTTGTCTAAGTGAGGAGAAGGTCTACAAGGATCGATCGCGCACGGAGAAGGTCCCGTCCATCAAATCGGACTTCAGTCCGCCCAGTTCGGACGATCCCGAGTACGGTCACGGCGAGGCCATGGCGGACGAGTACTCGTTAAGCTCCAGCGACGAGTACCAGCGTTCCAACTCCATCATCGCTCAGCACGCGCAGGCGATCACCGCTGCCGCGAAGAGCGGTGCAACATCGAAGAACACTCTACGTTCGGTGTTACTTACCATCGAGGACCCGGCATTCGCTGCCGCCGCCGCTACCGCAACTACTTTGATAGACGACGAGACTTCGCCGGTCGACAGCCTGTTCGACAGTCCTACCGCCAGCATTACTCAATCGGATGGAAAGCCCTCGAAGAGAGACGAGGAACACGCGCACGAACGTTCAGATAACACCCTTGAGGATGACGGTCCAGGCACGCCGACGAATGCCTCCAACTCGCTCAGCTTGTCCGAGGGTAGAGAGTTCTTCGACGATGAGATCGCGGATCAGCCCGGACTGATCTTCGACGACAGTAACTCGAGGGCGAGAATCGAAACGCAGTCCGCTATGGGGGGTCAAATAATAACCGAGAATAGCCACACTCTGATCGAGACAAGCTCTAAGATGAGTGAGTACAGATTTCAATGTTATTCTTGGAGTCCCTACCTCCAAGCATATATTGTATCGGATCTAAGTTACTATATTGAATTCTAATTCTAAATTCTTATTGAATTCTAATAATTACTGTCTTAATATACTTAAAAATTAATATATATCTTTTAATAGATATATTTGATTCAAATATTTCATCATTGACAATATACGTGATTTGCATTACAGATGGTGTGCACATTAAAGGGGTAATAAACAGTCCTCATCACGGACAGCGTTTGCATCGAACGGGAAGCGTAGACACTTTATCGCCCTGCGAATCCATCGCCTCGGATGATTTAATGTTAGATTATGACGGCAGCGACGCGAGCTCCTACGAGGAACAGCAACGGTTAGCATTAAGCAATATAATTTTTAATAGCCAGCTCGGCTGTAGAATCAAACGTTGCCATGAAACTATTTTCTGTGGAATCAAATTATTATCATCTGTCTTCCTTTTTCTTTCAGATTAAATTCCAATCCCGCGTTGCACGAGCTCGATGACGCCACTATAATTTCCGAGTTGGAAGCTCAGGGCGAGGAAGTGATGAGGCAATGGAGTTCGTTGCTGAATACCGCGCATATGGAGGAGGCGAATTCCAATTCCGCCAACAATAATTCCGTCAACAGCGCGACCGGTAACAATAACAACCAGGCCGTCACCGAATCCGGGTGTGTATTCGCATTTTTCGCTACCCTTCATGCTTGCGTTGCTGTCGAAACGTAATACTTCGTGATGCATGATGCTTCTTCGGGAATGATTAACGAAACGTTACCGTGGTCAGGTTTACAACGCGTAACGTACTTGCAAATGATATGTAGATTATGCAAAGATGTTCCTCCCCTCCGATCGGGGTAAGGGAATACCTAATACTGCTTTCTCGTCGATGTTATTATATTTTATATACATAAAATCCGGTAAAGTACAATTATCTCATTTCCGTTTTTGTAGTGCTTTTTCGTTTTGTATTGCTTCTTAGATATTGCAATTGCAACATCGTTCTGCTCTTTTATGTCTTGAACGAATCTGTACATTAGTATATACCTGCATCAATCATTTTTATTTTCCTAGTTACGTAATGTGAATTATAACTTTGAATGCACAATTTTCGTTAATTTTAACGCTTTTATAGCAAAGTTCTCAAATAGAGACTGCGATACAGTGCAGAAACTGTAGCTTTAATTAGAAACTGTAAATTGTGTAGGAAAATTGAAAGAGTACCTGGTCAATGCTGTAACATAGTTCATTAGTCGATAAAGTATGCATACTGTGCGAAGGAGGAAGACAAAGGATGTGTCATCCAACCATTAAATTGATGTATATCCGCTGTCTGTGTCCACCGTAGCTATAAGCCACACTCTTAAACTTCGATCAGTATGACCTTTCGAATCTTTTGTATATCATTTCTTTCATGTACAAAAAATTCGGCAAAGGTGAATACTAAATATTAAAATGCCATATGTTATAAGAAATGAGGTGGGAGCATTTATATATCTTTAGTATTAATTAAAGCCAATGTTTTATCCCAGGGAAAATTGCGTCTTTTGCATTTTCTGAACTTTCAATATCTTGAAAAACTCGACAGTATCTCTTGGGTATTCGTGTTTTTTAATTTACTGCGCGCAATATTATAATATATCCCGGACTTCTTTTTTTTTACAATATGATTAGATTTCGCTCAGTTGAATAACAATTTAATAAGAGTCTTGGAGAGGAAGTGTCATACAATATCCCTTTAATTGTTTTCATATCCTATACACACCACGTACCATTGTAGATATGATATATATGCAATTTTAAAATTTTAATCCGCATTCTGAAACGATATTAAACTTCAACGAAGAACCGCAGAAATCATTAAGGACATCGCGCGGGGAGATTGCACGCGTTAAGCTCCGTCTTCTCTATCTCTTAATTGAGAGGAGCGATTTTCCGTATCGGAGCATGAAGTTATTTTAGAGGCAACATTTCGGATCGCGATATCACACGCAATAACGATCGCGAGTCGCGTATAAGTTTCGAGCACGTCATGGCCACACGCGCATAACAGCCTACTCTCTTTCACATCGCCAATTCCTTTTTAGCTTTCTCAGCGAACGAGAAAAGAAGTGTGCACCTTGTGAAGTACATGTTAGACTTGCTCTCCATCGAATTCCCGTCCTGATCCCTGTCCTCGATCTCGTCTGATCCTAATCGACATTCTTGAAGCTTTCGTCAAGACGCGGCATCGCGTACTCGTCTGTTTCGTCAGCCCGTTTTCGTTCTGCTCTTCATTAACGGTGATAACCATTAGCAGGCCTCAATGTGTGCGGTCGTATAGTGAGAAAACCAGATAGCATTAAATATTTCCTTCTGCAAATTGAACAATGCCGATATACGTAGGTCTATAGAGAAGAAATGTATAGTCGTTTACAAGAGTACATTGATTCACTGCTAGTACGTGATATTTTCGAGAATGGGAAATTTTCCTCTTTATGAAAATATTACGAATTCTCGGTAATGTGTATCAGTCGGACTCTTGCGTATCCAATCGTGTTTTATTCCCCCCTATGAAGCTTTACGTACGAAACGTTATATATACGTTGTTGTTCCTCTTTGCTTATACAAAGTAAACGAAACAAATAAACATACTCACACACATCCGCCACAGAAGACGCCACAATTCAGCGACAGTATTCTGTGTTCTAGCGCGCTAATAAAACGGGTGAAGCAATTGCAAATTCCCGATGAGGACTCCGCGGGTGGAGACTACTACCAGCTGACATACCCTAACTAGCGAGCGGGGTCCGCCGGTCCTCCTTTGAATGTCGACTAGGCAAAACCGATAACCGCACGCAGCCGATTACTGAGACACAGTAATAATAAAACACGGACGCGGACTTAACGCGTGAATGGTCGCGTCTTGTTAAAAGAAAAAAAAATAAGAAAAAAAGAAATTAAAATGAACTCGTCGCAAGTTTCTCGAGATGCTGATGGTCGGAAGGTGTATGGGTTTCGCGAGACAAGACGAAATAATTCATCGCGGAGAGAGAATGAGGAGAAAACGATGTTTTACTTGCTACATGATGCTCGTGGCGCGACCATTCACGAGTTAAAGACAGATATTGTCAAGATTGAAAGAGAAAAAGAAATGGATGATTGAGAGAGAATCCGAGCGATGTTAACGATAACATGTGTGGTGTTGCAACTGGGAAATCTAGCGGCTGGCTATGATACTGCGTCTGTGACTTTTGCTTAGGGTATGGCTAAATGAAAGAAAAGGGAGTGACATGTCGTGAAAAGTTGTTTTCAATATTTAGTGCGTTTCCAAGTTTATTCCAAAGTTAGAATAGTTCAATGAGTCTTTTTAAATTTTTAAAGGATAATCGCATCGCGATAATTGTTACTTAATATACCTTAAGTACATTCTCTTACGCGCAAGTCCTCTAGTCTAATAATTTTATACAGTAACGTTAATACCTGTAGGTATATTTTTCTAATCTTTTAACAGACTTCGTGTAATTATCATTCGTTTTAAAAACTTGTGCTGTGTTACGTGTCCTTCTTGTTTCGAGAGAGAAGTATTAATTTCTCTCCCAAGAAAAATATTAATATATACAAGTAATAACATAATCAGCTATCCCATCCCGCCCAATTTCTTAAACCGAACATAGATGGGAAAAGATGCTACCTCAAAAGTTCTCCCGCGAGATCGATCGGTCTCGTTAATTTACTCTTTTTCTTTTTTCTTAAGAGAAGTATAGCTTAACGTGATTTCACGATACAAGGCATCAGGTAATTTCTTCGAGATTACACAGCGCGTCCTTATTACAATCGCAAAGTATACAATTCTCTCAAGTATAATCGAGGTGTAGTCGAAGCGTAGTGCCGAACAGAGAGTAACCCGCCGACACGTGTAAACCGTTCGCCGTTTACAAGTCGTCTCGCTGCGTCCCGGTTACAATGCTGCGAGGACTCGCTTTGAGTGCAAAGCGATCCACCGTACGGAGGAGTTTGCGCGGCTCTCAGCGGTGTACCCGGCACTAAGCGAGCGCGTCTGGTGGCGTGGGTGATAGAGATTATTTTTCTAATTTCGTATTTTTCCAATAACGATGGTCGAGCAGGCCAAGTCCTTCCAAAATTGTCGTCCTTCCAAAAATCGTCGGCGGTTCAACGCTGGTTCCCAATCCCGAGTAGATGCACTCTAGTCCTCATTCTAGTCCTCCCAACGGCCGTCGTTTTTAAACGGTAACCATTGATACTATTTAATACGTATTACAGATACGTGGCGCAAAGGGTAGTCGTTTTAACACCCGCTACCAAATAGCTATTAATTAATCGTATACTCATTATAGAGAGCTTGTTAGGTGTAACCGCGTGGTGTAAACGCGTAGCTTCGTAGAAGAGAGTTGATGAACGAATAATCGACTCAATGTTACCCTTCCCTCCTTGTTTTGCCTCCCTTCGAATTTACCGTGAAGGAGAGAACAATGCAACTTTAAGCTGATACGCGTTTAACAATTACGTGATAACATTGCATTCCGTTAGTTTAAATAAATAATTCAATTAAATAATTCGGAGCAATCAGTTTTACGATCGTTTGCGACTGTCAACGGTCTTCGATCTTTCGGTTTTGGATATCCGCCGTTACAGTAAAGATGCATGTTCTCTTCGGTCTCTCGTCCACGAAATGTGTTTCTTTCCTGCCGTACGCGGAAATACCGTTATCTCGTATCTTCGATTCCTAACATGAGCGAAATACGATCGTATGATCGTGAATTCGATCCTTCTTTGAACGGATTTCATTCCCTCCCCAGAAAATAAAGCAGACTGATGCGCTTATATAGATACTTGTCTCAACGGTACGCGCTTAAGTTACACACTGGATTGTGGAACGAGGAAAAGAAATGGGCAATGTACCGCGATTACCGACACGCAATGATGACACGTATTAACGCAACGTACATACACTTATACTTAGCATAGTATACTTACGAGAAATATATTGCTACTATCTTGGGCTTTAAATGGCAGCTCGTTGAAGCGGCCTCCTCCCGCTTCTTCCTCGCGCAGAGAGTCCCTCCTCTCTTGCATTTGCCCTTTACCTTCTTTGGCTTGAACCTACGCTTGAACTCTTATATTTCCCAACTCTCCGTTGTGGCCAAAAAGAGATCAGCGCGAGCCGACAACGGCATTCTAGTATCTAACGAATCTCTAACGATATCCAGAAAGTCAGTCTCCTCAGGTGAACTTATCGGTCCTTTCTAAAATTGAATTAGCGACATTGGCCGCCGTCGTGCCGAACTATATTTCCGTCTACGCTTATATGCGCGAGTATTTATATCCGCAAGCGTGTACTCAAGTGTATCCGTAATTTGTAAGGATGGGCAACGCAAGGGAGAGAGAGAGAGAGAAAGAGAGGGAAAGAGAGAAAAGAGTGTGCGGTGTAGCGCCGACCAGTTCTAGAAGACGGAAATACGACGGCATTAATCATGACTGTGTATCGTACTTTTGTCTTCCTCGTATACGTACTATTGTAAGCATATATATCGATCTCCATTGCATTATTAAAACACACATTATTAAACACACTTCCTCTCGTGGGACTACTTGTTTTCTCTTTTTTTCATTTCATCTCCATCCGCGGTGCGGAAACGAGATTTAATAGGTATTTAGACCCGAAGACCCAGTTACGGAGATTGGATTTGGGTCAGTCGGAGGGTTGCTAACGTTAACTAGGAGCAAGCTCCTGATGCGACCTTGGCTGTTGCATAAAAAAAAAAGAAAAAATAAAAGACCGCGGTTTAATTTGCTCAACCGTGTAAACCGGTTTCCCCGGGTATGACGGACTCGTACCCACGTGGACGACCGAATACAGCGGCGTCGGTGCTCGTTCAAGGTTGAAAGATGAACGGAACGTGGGGTTGGATTGATATTGGCGGATCAATTGCGTTTCCGCCTTCGTTTGTACGCAGAGAATCAAAGGTAACCGCGGAAGCCGATCGGCACGACATCGTCGAAGACGTCGAGGGCCGAGAGCCAAACGGTGCGATTTCCTCGTTAATCAGAGCGTTACCAGTTAGCCGCGGGACGGTATTTTTCTGCTCCTCCTTCGTCGTTGGCGCGGATCTTCCAGTGCTTTTGAATTTTTTCTCGCGATGAAATGTTTACGCTCTTGAAGAGAAGCTTTGCTCGACAATGGAAAAAAAGAAAGAATAGGCTCTAATAGGCCCCGCGAGATGATCCGATCTGTTTCTTTGATGATTTTCTCCCTTCGTGTTCCGATGGAACAGTTCGTGTCTTGTAGAGAAGCGCCATACGACAACAATATAATTCCTTCTTGAAGAGAAACAGGCGAGCATGTAGCAATTTTCATTTTCAAAGGTGTTGCTCTCTCGGATAAGTCGCGCTCGCCGTAGCGTAAACGACTTATACGATGTAACTTCCTCGCGCGGTTCTACTGCGTAACGGTGAACTCTTTCGGTCTATTTACTAAAACCTCTCTCAGCGATAACTAGCCGCGGTCGACGACAGTAAATAGTGCCGCCGATGATCCTCGATCGAGTCGTTTGCATATTCCAAAGCTGCTAAATAAATCGAGGAAAGTAGGAATAAATCTGTCCCTTTGTGGCCGCTTCCAAATCAATTAGCTAAATGAATTTACGGTAACGATAAACGTTCGCCTATAAAAAACGAACAATAGTACTGAATACGTCTTGAAAGGCATTGGCGAGATCGGCCCTTCATTATCCGTGGCGTTTATTGCGGAACGTGAGCAGACGGCAAAGACTCAGCGGGTGCTCGACGAAAGGGAAAGAGAGGAATTCCCTGAGGGTGCGGGGATTCCGTGTAGACTGTTCGCGAGAGAACCGAGAAGTGCGTGCTCACCGTCGGGAACGAAAAACCTCGCGGAGCCTCATAAATCCCAGATTCTCGCCACCGGAGCCAAGTCGGCGGAAAATCGTGCCAGGGGTCGAAGGGGCGAGAGAGAGTGGCGAGGAGGGTAGACGATGCGACGGCTGTAGACCGTGGTTTTAAGGGCCAAGGAACGGCTGGCTGCAGGAGTATTGATCGTTTACCTCGCCGAAGACGGGTTCTTATTTTCGGTTCATAAATTGCTTTCTCGACAAAAAGGTGGACCTTCTGATGGGATTCTGTTGAAACGAAACCTTGTTTTAACGAGCGGAAATATCTGTCGATGATTTTCTCGATATCGTATTTAGTTGATGACCAGGCACTCGAAATTGATTCGTATATTAAATCGATGTTGTCTGACCGGCTCAGGTCGCATTATTTCTTAATTATATGTATATGTAAGGAGATGCGGCACGACCTAGTCAGACAGTATCGATTTAATATACAAGTCAATTTTCTGTACATCGAAAAGCTATTTACTGCCTGAAGTGGAGCTAGTCATTGACCTAGCTAACATTAATTTTAGCAGATCACAGCTGTCCAATTAGGACTGACAGTTGATGGAATATTCATTGCGTTGCACCTAATTGAGTTGGACGAGAATAGCATGGATTTAATAATTTATTACTCCTCTATCGCGTTAATTTCTTTACGCTTCTCACAGTAAATCTATCTGTAGCAAATTCCTGCACTGTTAAATTAGTGTCAAATTATACTCAATTTGAGTTATTTTTAACCATTCCTATAAAGCGCCACTGCTCCTACTCAATATGTTGTCAACTTAATTAAACCAATCGAGTTAAAATAATACATTTCGATACACATGGTAGTTAGTAATAACAAAATATTATTTGACTCAAAATAATAGTTTAAATTTTATCTTTTAATATTTAACAGCGTGGTGATATTCGTTAGCTACGAAATCCCAACTGGGAAATGAAATTTCACTTCAAACGTAAGTGTATAACAAGCGCAAAACGATACATCCAGGAAAAAGAAAAAGGAAGTCGGAAAACTTTCGACGACGAGTTTGGAAGTCAAGGTATCCCACGGGGAAGATCGGTATCGTTAACTCCGGGTATCGTGATAGTTCCCGCAGCTTTTTGCATTATCACCCCCACCGTCCTTGCGCTCGCTTCCTCCCCGCTGTCTGCAGCTGTTCCCCGAGCTGTTCCCCCTACCGTTCTTCCCTACCTCTCTCCGACTTCTCTTTCTCCTCTCTGCTCGTAGTGCACCGCGACGATATCGAACCGCGGCTCGTCGCCGTAGTGCGAGGTGCGCACGCGTTCCCGGTGTATGTCCCCTCGCCGAAGGGTTATCCTTCGTGATCCTGATTCCGTGTCTACCTGCCGGTGACCGCCGCAGGTCACTCCGGAGTCCGGAGTCGCGGCCCCCCTTCGGAACGCCGTCGAATCTCTCGCGCACGGGGGGCTTTCCTCGTGTGGCGTCATCGCGCTCGCGAGGGAGTCCCTCTTCGACGACGACGACGAGGAGGAGACCGTCCGCTCCTAGATACGACGCCTTAGCGAGCGGACGCCTCGCGCGACGCGCGAACCGGGTCTCCTAAACGCGAACAAGTGATCGCTCCGCTCCGAAAAAAATCCGCTTGACGTGCGTGCATGTGCATGTGTGTGTGTTGATCCAGTGGGTCGTGGGACAGTCGCGGGAGCTCTCGTTTTGCGGTGCCGCCGGGAAGCGCGAATCCTTGATCCACGGCCTGCCGCGAATTATGCGAGGTGACGTAGCGTGACGTTGAGTGTTCGGCCAAGTCCAGGTAGAGAAAAGGCGAAGCTCGGTCCCCTCTTCCTTTGTTCGCGACGCCGTTTTTCCGTGCCGTGTTCTTGGCCCTTATCGCCTCTCCCCAGCAGCGTCGTCGCTGTCACGTGAATCTTTCCAGTCCGAGATAGCGCGACGATACGACGAAGGTGTACCGCGTTATGCCGCCGCCGCCGCGAGGCCGCGGTCGTATATTTAACCGCATGGCATTAAGATTCGCAGTTTATTAATAGTCGCGTAAAATATAAACTCTCCGAGTCTCTCCGAGGGATAAATCGATTATAAACGGATTAACAAAAACTCCCCCGGTCCGTTTTAGAGATGCCGAAATTGCGCCGCGCGCGAAAGCTTCGATTAATTTAGCTCGTGACAGGACAGCTTGATTTCCTCCCGGAATTAAACATGATGAACTATAGATCTATTGAAAGAGCAACATATTCGGATTTTTTAAAAGAAACAGAGGTATAAAATAATTACACTCAGTTCGGTAATCGTTCAGTTCGTTGAAACGTGCACTCTAGCAGAAAAATAGCAGGCACTCCGGCAGAGATTTCGGTATAGGATAACTTTCACTCGGCGGAATGACTCAACTCCTTCCGAGTCCGGGTCTGGGATTGTTATGAAAATGAAGTGGAGAAAAAAGAGAGACGAGTGGAAGCGCTAACGAGCGAATTACGTCGGAGAGACGCGATAAATTACGGGAGGGAGCGGGAGGATACGGCGAGATAAATAAATTATCCTCGTTTCGAGAAACTAATTAAACAGAGGCGTAATTTTCCGGCGCGCTTAACTACCGCGTTCGATAATTTACAGCGCAAATAACCTGCGGCGAGAGATGAAAAAAAAGTCTCATTAGTCAACCCGCAAAATATTGCGTTACCGCTACCCGAGCGGCGATCTAGATCGCGATCCGTGTATCACGCTCGCTGGATTTCTATTTTTCTTTTTCCTCCCTCCCGCGCGAGTCCCGCGCGGCCTTTTTCTCCCCCGTTCACCTGTCCGTCCAGGTCCAGGTTTCCGTTTACGTTTTACGGGTTTCGTCGTTCCGTTGCAGCTTTATTCGCGAGCGTCATCAGCGAGCGGACGTACCCCCGTACATCAAAGGAACCGCTCGAGTTCGCGTGACTTCGCGCGAGGATTGCGAAACGCACGCGCGTAATTCGCGTCTCGGGAAAGTGATCGCGGCAACTGCATGTCTGCCGAATTACTCATCGTCGCGGAGGCATGGCACTTCGCTTCTGACCCTGCCGCGTGTTCTCTCCTTCTTCTTGCCCCCCCGTCGACGGTAAAACCGCGACGCATTCCGTCCCGTCCCGGCTAAATATGCCCGTCCGTGCTCCATCCTCTATTTACATTGTCCCGTTCCTGCGGGTGAAGCTGACTGAAGCTGACCGGCGCGGCGGACCGTCACGTTTAGCGATACGATAAACGCGACCGCTCTCGAGGATATCCCCCGCGAGGAAACCAACTCCTGTTCTTACTCAAGCCAACATCGAGAGCTCCCGGGAAGGCTGAACGGGGTCCTCGCGCTGAGAGAGACTCGTTAAACGCGCGGCCAATGACCCGCGCGCGATCGCCAGGAGGTGACGGACGATCCGGTTGAGGAAACCGGGCCGAGGATGGCCTCCTCGTCGACCGAGGCGTCGAAGGGCGCCCGGAGGCGCACCACCGGCCTGCCGACGCGCGTCCGCGTCCCCGCGAGCCTGGAGAACGGCACCGAGGATGGACGCGACGACTCCGGCCTCTCGTCCGAGAGCTCGACGCCCACGAACGGATCGCCGCCACCGCGGCAACCCAGGGCGCCGAGCAACGGCCGGATCATCTCCACGGGCATCGGCGTCGCGGCCTCCTCCTCCTCTGCCGCGGCCTCTTCGCGCGCCAAGAATAGTCCCGGAAGGTAGTGCCTCTCACTCTGCCTCTCCCTTTCGGAAGAGCTCAGGCTCTTCCCTCAGATGTTTCCGAGTAGCGTAGGAGAGATGCGAGATAGCGAGGAAGCGCGGAAGATTAGGTGCCGCGCACGCTCGTTTTCTTTTTTTTATTGGGATAGCGTGACTGCGATGAGAATTCTGATAATGCGCGAATACGCTACTTCCTGTTGGCTCCCCGCTGGGTTACATTTGCTCGCAGAAAGCTCTCGCTGCTTGTTATTTATGTACGACACGTGCAATCCTCGTTTCTACATGTAATTTATTTCTTCGAGATGCGGCACGATTAATTATCATCCGTTCCGTCAAATCGTCACGCTCCTTTTTATTCCATTTTAGAGAATAGCATGGGATAGATGAAGATAACGAATGAATTGATCAGGTACGTCTTTGCGTAGCTAGCAGACCATTTTTAGGATTTCGGTATAATTGCTGGAAGCACCGACTCTTCCCCCACAGAAGTTGTAGAGCTCCCCCTTCCTAGAGCTGCGGTTCAAGGAGAATTCCGGCGTTTATAATAAAACGCGTGGAAATACATGGATTTCGCTGTTCTTGTTTCAGAATCGGAAGCGACAGGATGTCAAGGCTGTTACGCAGCAGATCGGGAACGGAATCGCCGCGTTCGTTAGACAACATGCGAAACCGTCAAGTTTCTAGTCCTATGAGAACGTCGGGAAGTGTAAGTCACGATCCTATGCTCAAATCAAACTCGATTTATCGGAAGCGATTATATATATCCCGCGGCGCTGATTGCAGATGTCATCCTCGTGCGTCGATTCCGGAGACGAGGCCAGCCTCAGGATAGACCGCGGCACGTATCAGTACATGTTCCAGGACATCGTCTCCATAAAGACGATGCTCCTGAAACTCAAGCGAGTCCTTCAGGAGGTACGACGCGTGCATAACGCACGCTTGGCATTTTCACCTTCGCCAGAATTTTGCACGTCGCTTCTCGCGATTATCGTCCCCCGTATAAATGTGTTTCGCGCGTTTTGCACGCGGTGTTGAAGCGACTTGAGAGTACGCTCGAGCTCGCCTTCGGCTCGCGCCGCACAGACGTCGTTCAACCGCAAGCGTTATATTCCGTTACTGTACACGGTGCCTTTATGTTTTTTGCTCATTTTATTAACACGATCTTTTTTATTTTTCATTTTTGTCGTCGTCCTTCCTGATTTTGCGTCTCAAGTCAGGAGAGAACGATTTGACGAGGGTACGTTGCATTGATTTTCTTTATACTTTATACACATTTTATCACTAATTTACGTCATCTTATTTGCATGCATATGTGTGTATTTATTTCGTTATTTTACCTACACGGGATCGAGTAAAAATTACGCACATGAAAGCAATTACGCAATTACGAAAAAAGAAATATGTGAAAATTATAATTACAAGAAGATATTACAAGACAAAAAGTACATGAAAGTTGCAAGAAGTAGATTTAATCCTCTCGCTGTAACATTATTTTACTCGGTCTTGAACAATGAATTATCGCCAACGCTAAAGATAAATGTACAAGCTACTAATATCTGATATTGATTTGTTAGACGGAAACTCTCAACCCATTCGATAATCCGAAGGTGAGTGTACGTCACGTCCTATAAAAGAAATTTGCTCGAAAAGTAAATCTAAAATAACTGCTCAATTGAGGGTACGTTAAGTTAGATTAAAAATGACGTTGTCGATATCGCAGAATGGCCTCTTCTGTAACCTGAACGAGGATGGAGGTAACACGATCGACGTGAGTACGTCACCAGGCAGCGGCGGTAGCAGTATCGCGGACGAACTGGCGGATCTAAGGCGGCAGGTGGTGTTCCTTCAGGGGCAGGTGGAAGACCGAGATCGTACGATACAAGTGCGGGATCGTACCATCGAGCTACTTGAGGTAAATAACGAGGTAAATCTCACTCGCGATTTAATCGTACCGCTCTGTACCGCGAAAAGCTCGCTCCGACGGAGGTTTCTTCTGATCGGTAATCGTTATCGAGCGAAGCGAATTGCTCAAGGAATGACAATCGCATATTGATCCTCGCAGCTCCAGATGTCGAAGCTTCAAGGCCCTAAGAACGGCGACGTTCAAAGCTGTACTCTGCCGACGCGCAACAACAACGTCTCCTCCGTGGACACTTCTAACGCCGCCACGCAAACGGAGAAGGTATTGTTTCCTCACCTGATCGAATCTTTCGATCCGTTTATTCTTACCTTACGCCGTTTCGATTCTTTCTTTGTATTGGTACGATCGTAATAGCCGCTCTTGTTTCGCGCGATTGCATTTGGTCATTCGTTGCTACTATTAATGTTATCTTATCGCCGCGCTCTCGATTAAAAGGAAATTGTTTGATTGCGTCTGTAGACACGTCCAGTGTCGGCGGGACCCTCGCTCCTACAGTCACTCCCGCAGGACGGTGTTATGGGGCCTCTCGTTAGGTGAGAATTTGTCCTTTTTTATTATATATAAGTCTTATTCTTATTACACGCTTAATCATAATCTTCGTTCAACATACATTATTTCATGCGATTAATACCATCATTGGTCATCAAAAGTTACATTTACACGAATTGCGCTTATACTACTGACACAATCGCGTTTTAAATATTTTCTCTATCATATGTGCATCATAAAATAATAATGTTCTTTTTGCTGCTCTGGTCCCGCCCTTTGCTCGGGTGATTCCACGCGATGCAGCTTCAGGATCGGGAAGGTAGAGTGCGTCAGTCTGTGTGACTTGCTATTGGGATATGTACTCCTCTCTGCATTTAATGTCCTCATATTCATGCACCTCTTCTATTTTCGTGGCACTTGTTTGACAGTCCGTTGTTAATAATTGCGTTCGCATTTTGCATGGGAGTAATCTGACTTTTCATTTGCTTCTCAATTCCCGACTAATCGACCGAGACAAATTTCGTCAGAGCAGATTAATTTTAGGTTCCTGCATTTTGTTATAACAATTAATAAATTCAATCATTTTACGATATAACTAAAGTTTAGTAGCTTTATATTGTACATATACTCTTGTACCCCTTTTTTATTTGCGAAAGAAAATAATCGACTGATTGCATTTTCGAACGTGTCTAAAGGTCGAGAAGAGCCTAATTTTTTATTGTAAAAGTGATTTAGAGATAATCTTTAGCAATACGTATGTAAATTGTAGATTTTTGCTTGTCATTCTCATTTATAAAACCAACGTTCCTGGCATGTTGTAATAACATACGTTTGTTTTCGTTTCAATATTAATTATTCAATGTCATAATTACACCTTGACATTCCCAATTCTTTGCGATAAAATACTCGATTTATAATCCGTAATGTTTCACGCTGCCTTGAATAGCCGTGTGCGGTGAGTCTTGAATTCTCTTTGTTTGATCAACTCAGAATTCTCGAATACGAACTTTTCCTTACTCGACGTTCTCCATCTTCGCGATTTACTTACACTGATAACTTGTCGTTTGCAGTTGGAGTGACTCGTCGGACCGTCAGCGACCATCACTGCTCTCCGAGCTTAACTCCGCCGGGAGCCATCGCAAGCCAATTGAACGTTTACCTCATACGCTAAGACTCCGTCAGGAACAGACCTCGACACGTCGCGTCAACGCGCACTCGAGAAGACACTCGTCGGAGTGCGTGTCCGGCTCGCCCACCAAGCCAAAGGACTATGCGAAACCACCGTGCGATTTGAACGAAGCGGAGCAACGCGACACCAAGATAGAAGGAAACACGGTCAAGTCCCTCATTCCGACACCTAGAAAACTGCGACTTTAACGACACATTAGTTATATTAATTTTCTTTGCGTATAGTAATGTTTTCTTTCGCTCCAGACGTCCGTGTCCTTGAAGTACAAAAAACTTCGTAAGACACACCGATCGCAGTCTTACAAACAAATCATTCGATTCGCTTGAGATATTTATAATTTTTTATTCAGTAGATCTAAACGCCTACATCGAGAACGAGTCTTCAATCGTTTCATATTATAAGTTGCAATAGCAACGATCGTTAGATCGTACGCCGATTGAAAAGCATTTAATTTATATAATTATTCGATCGTGTTTCTGCCAGGCGGTTTTCGACCGATTCGGACGTCCAAAACATCGTGAACGATCTTTCGTTATAGCTGCCCGTACTCGTAATTAGTTCTCTGCACGGCATGCGGCATGACGTTCACGTTCTATGCGTTAATAGCGTCGTTTGTGTGTTAACGATGTCGTTTATGCGTTCGTCTGACATACCACCGTATTTATGTAACGTTATGCAGAGAGCATCGCGCAAAGTCATCTATTCCTGAGCGGGTATTTCGGGCGGCGTGTAATTCGTGCCCGCGCGCGTAATGGGTATGGGCACGCTTAATTCGTTAATATTAACGATACATTTCATTTCCTCACCTAAACGTGATCTCAAGTGCAAAATTAGGGATTAGCGAATTATCTGCATCACTAAATGACGATCGCGCTTTATCTGTCGATCTGGCGATCGATTTGGGACCTGCGCTTTGTACAAGTGTGGAATCTTCCTCCGCACGATCTTATCTCGGCGGCCGGAAACGAAAGTCCTATATACATTTTTAGTTCGAATGAAACTTTAATTGCAATATTGATCAAGTGCAAGTAATTTTTGTAATATATATAATTTATTGTAAATATAAATGCAAGAAATTAATTTTAAGCGTAATATACAATTGCAATCGAGAAAATTAATCCAATTTTGCAAAGAGGTGAAATTTAGAATCCATCGATATATCCTTTGGACGCAAACGTACGTAACGTCTCAGAATCTATAATCTTTATGTACATACAAAAATCTGTTTTCTCGAGAAAGAAAGATTTTCTAAATACACGTTATTTATTACTGCGCGTTTATCGAGCAAATTTTCTCTTTACAGCTAGCTCGCTGTGATCTAACAAAAATCAGACACGATTGATCATGGTTTAATAATTGTCACAAAAAGCGTTCGTATTGTGATTCATTTGTTCTCGTCGTTCAAAGATATCACAAATACGTTTGGATAATTTTAAGAGTTGCACGGATGTAGCTCCAGTTTGTGAATACATCTCGTGACAAGTCGGATTACATACGATCGTAATTAGTGAAATCAGGGTATACTGTGTAAATTCCACACGTCGTTTTAATTTATTGTGTGCTTGGTTCGTACTTGGTGCTAGTAAGTTCGTATTCGATATTATAAATAAATTCATATATGATATTTAGACTCTCCTGTCTTTCGCGTAATCATACCGACTAGCAGTGCCAGGTAAACGTACTCACGAATAAGAAATGACGAGTTTGAACGTATATCTGTATTAGTGTACATAAAATAATATTCTAATGTATTTATTAACATTCTGCAGTATTATAGCAAAACATTTCACTGAAAATAAATACCTGGAAAATGACGGATGCCAGGAGAAACTAGATATTATATCATTGTATATTTATTTGTCCATATTTTCTTAATTTATATGCTGATTAGACGCGAAAATAAGAACGGAGGGAAAATGAGAGAGTGAGAGAGTGAAGAAGAAAGAGAAATATATAATATATATAAATTATGAAATCTCATTAATTTTTTAAGAGATATATAATAAAACAAAATGTCGAGACTATAGGGAAATCTTAGCTTTTCCGCAGGATTATCTTCGCAAGATGCAGTCAAGTATTTATAGGAATGTATACTGAGTAGTTCAAATCCACTTACTATTAATAACGAATACAAATTAATAGATCTGATATGGAATAAGTTAAATGGCAATTTTATTGGTATTACGAAATCGACATTGATGTTAATCGTCCGCCACGGCTGTTACAATCTCCGAAGAGCGAGCCTGCGACTAGTGCGAAACATTTCGAAAGCTGCAAAGCTGCAAATTTTGTCGCATCGTATAAAAGTTATGGCAAATAAAGAGCATACGTAACACAGTGATTACGTGTTTATTTTCCGCTATTACTGATATACTATTATTTTCACAAAAGTCGTAATGCAGATCGACTTGCACATCGATAAGTAAAGTTCTCTACGAGTTCATTGTTTTAAAGTTGCTTTGACGTAGCGAGATACACATTCTGTACTTTCTCTCCTCATAAATTTGATACGGCAAAAGCCTTGAATCGCGTATTATCAAACTGACGAGTGTCAACAATGAGTCTTGCTCTAATAGTAACTCTCTCTCTATCTATATATAAGAACAATGTGTACATTCGTATAGGTACGTGCCAATATTCAATATACATATTTTTGTCGCGGTGGTGGCTGACAACGCAGTGTGTTCCAGGGTAGCTTAGTTGGTCTTACATTTAGGACGCAATGGGGGATCTGAGCGCCGTGCCGCAGGAGAAGAGTATGCGCATTTTCTATATATATAAATATATTACGTATCTAACGCAAAACGTGCCTCAAGTTCACCCGCCGTCAACCGGAAACAATCCTAACAGTCGTAGATCATCTTCTGGAACGTTTGGAACGCGGCGAGATTTACACGTGGGTCGGCACTCTCCTCCTGGCGATCAATCCCAACGGCGAGATCCTCACCGATAACATTTACGATCTGTCCGGAGCTCATGAATATGACAATATATGTGATGTGACGCACAAGGAAGTATCGCCTCACATATTCGCCGTGGCTGCCCGAGCGCGCTACAGAATAGTTCAGAATCTTGGGAAACCCAGCCAGGTAAATCCGACCATCCGCGAAGAATCGATTTGCATTCTTCGTGCGCCGAATTGTTTTCCTCTGTCTTTTCAATTCGGAGCCGATACGAGCTCCAGGCGGTTCATTCAGAACTGTTAACAGAGGAGGACTTTAGTAAAGGAGGTCCTTAATTAATAACTGGTTGAGGAGTATATCGTGTACTCGAATTGAATACAACTCTCTCTGTGCGAGTTATCAACCGGATTGATTTTGTTCATTTATTCCGTTTTTCTCTGTATTCGCTACATAAGTACATTTGTGAATCTTTTCCTGCGTTCTTCGCAAAGGTGATAGTCTTGAGTGGAGAGACCGGAACGGGAAAGACCTTCAACGCCTGGAAGGCGCTGAAATTCCTGACCAGAAGCATATCCCCCGACGCCCGTGAGAGGCGAGACGCGGTTTGCGGTATCGTGCGGAGGATCTCGGACGCCTGCCGTTTAATATCAGCCTTCACAACTGCGCCCACCGAGAGGAACGATGTCAGCTCGAGGCACGTGCAAGTTGTGTGGCTCGAGTACAAATTGGGCGGCATTTGCGGCGCGACGGTATCCTCCTACCTCCTGGAAAGGGACCGAGTCACGAGGGGCTGCTGCAATTTTCAGATTTTTGGTCAGGTGAAGGAGCGCCTCAGCTATAGCCGCGCGAAATTTATTAACGTTTCTGTTAATCCGATCCTTTTGCTAAGCATCCCTTTTGCGAAATCCACTTTAGATGATGACTGCGGTAGCGAGCATAGAGTTCGCCGACACCGCATTGTCGAGGGATAGGCAATACTTCATGCTGAGCGACTTGGATTCCCCGAGAGCGCGGGAGTTGCACGAGGCCGGCTACCGCGAGACCCTGAGGGCGATGGATATGCTAGGATTTACGGAGAATCAGAAGAAGGACATCTTTCTCGTTCTCTCCCTGCTCATTCACATGGGTGACATACAGTTCGAGCAGGAGGACGATCACTGCAGAATTAATACCTATGATCGACGTATGTAGATCAACGACAATTATTCTACGTTGATAAGTCCACGTGGACAAATTGCGCGCGGCGAGAACGCTCCTCCTTTTGATAATAAGCGGCGTAATAGCGAAAAGCAAAAGTTCAGCAGATATCACACGCGATTTTCAGAATCTAGAGAAGCCCTGAAGAACACATGCCGACTGGCCAGCGTCAATGAAGAGGATATCGTCGCGCTGCTCACGTCCACGTTGATAAATCCTCAAGGTACTCGGCGCCGACACATCGCGTGCCGACGTAATCTCAATACGAGCGATGCCTGTCGCTATCGGTTGCACAGCATCATCCGCCACTTGTACGATCTTCTATTCCAATGGCTGATCAACTCCGTGAACGAGATCCTGTCCGCTCGTTTATTCAGCGAACGATTGGGTATTAAAGATATATGTTTTCCTTGCATTATAGTAGCAATAGTAACGCATTTTAAACGATGAGAAAACGATATCCCGTTGTCCCGTAAGAAAAGGTGTGATTTTTATCAATGCCGACCGATACTTCTCGCGCTTCAGGAATATTGGATATCTTCGGATTCGAGTGCTTTGATTCGAACGGCATCGAGCAACTTTCTGTTAATTATGTCAACGAGAGATTGCAGCAGTATTTTGTGGAAAAGTACCTGGTGTCCCACCGGAATGAACTGGAAAAGGAAGGCCTCATCGGTGACGAGGAACCGTCGGAAATCGGGCGATCGTACGAAGATCGCTTGAACACGATCGAGAAATACTTGTTCACTACTCTAAACGATGTAAATGTTTCTTAGAGATGTAACAAACAAATATCTATTAGGAGCAGAGGAGTTAACGGTGAACATTTTCTCGTCGCAGATGTGTCTATCGACGGTTCCGAACAGCTGGTCCACGTTAATGCGCCAAGTGTGCGCTAAGAGTTGTCCCGTAACGAGGCGATTTTTGAAAGTAAAGAATGAAAATTTCGTTGTACGGCATTACAGCGGTGCCGTGGAATATTCCGTTCGCGATCTGCTTTCGAAGAATACCGACAAGGTAAGCGAATAACAGCCGGATAGTGCAAAAAGTCTGTCGCCTTTTCAACAGACTCTTTGCATAGAATAAAGTTGAAAAGATTGAATTATTCTTTGAAAAGGAGATTGAACAAATTTTTTTCTAATAGTTATAATGCATTCGCAGATTCCGGACGAGATAATCGCGACGTTCAGCGTGAGTAGGAACAAATTTCTGTATTCCTTAATCAACAAAAGTAAGCCGTATCACGACGGAAAAGCGAAGAAACCTACGACGCTTTCCAAACTGCGATATAACGTGGACTTGTTGATAGAAGAGTTAAACAAATGTGACGCGCATTATGTTCGCTGCATTAAGCCACAGTATAGTATTTTAACGTTAGTACGTAATCGAGTTTACTTTTTTATGCAATAAAAAAAAATGCTCCCTGCAGGCGGATTAACATCCACGAGTGGAACCGAGACGAGCTTCGCAAGCAGTTGGCTGACACGGGTATTCTTGACGCTTTGCCCCTGGCCAGGTGCAGATATCCGATCCACTTTGTCTACAAAGATTTCCTCAGACGCTACAATAGGAAACGCGCGGGTAAAGATCTGAAAAAATTTTCAACGTTAAGGGCCGATTGTTCCAACCTATTGGTAAGCTACCTGATAGTTAAATCATATGTCTATCTTCGTCCAATGTAAAGGATAAACAAAGACATACATATGATTTAACTATTAGGTAGTTTACCAACAGGCTGGAACAACCAGCCCTAAGTCTATATATATTCGCTAATTTGTTCCTCCGTAGAAACCTGCGATTTACGTACCGTTTGCAAAAATATACTGGAGTCGTCCCGCCTAACAATGGATGACGATAACTCATCGGTTTATTACGGGAAACGTTTGATTTTCTTGAGAGAATCCATGTTTCTGCGATTAGAATCAGCCAGAAGGCGATATCGCGCCGAATGTGTCAAGAAGATAGAATCTTTTTGGATAAAGCACAGCAAGTATCTCTTTGCACGTATAAAGGAGTTCATATTTTCTTCATGTCGACCGGTAAACTTTAGAGCGCAACGAAAACTCGATTTACTGAGAAAGATAAGCAGTGTAGAATAAAAAAAAAAGATAGAATATAACGCATGCACCAAGTTACTTAAATTTCGTTGTACAAATCAATGTTTTCCGGTGAAGAGATTTTAATTCCATGTCGGAAGACAAATGATCTCGTCGTCATAGATTATAAGAAGAAATTCAAATTTGTTTTATTATCTTTGCGCAGATAAATATACGCAACAAAGTGTGGAGGCGGATGTAGCTGATGATGTTCGCACAATCGTTGACACAAATATTCGAAATAAGTTGATTGAGAATTCTCAATCAAAACGTGAACAAGTCGTGCCTATATTAGGAATAAACTTATACGTAAAAAAGCTAGCTATAATGCAGTCGCAAGATAGAAAAGATAATACGGCCAATAATGCTAATAAAGCAATCGTTACAGTCGATACTCGACACGAGAAATCCCAATTCGAGAAATCCTTGATGGAATATGAGAACGCTGTACCAATACAAGACATTCCGCGTGTCGTGCCAGGAGAGCTGGTGATAAAAGTAGCAAAAAACACCGCATATGTATTGCATTGGTTGGATGGTGTAAATAAAGCGATAGATACGAAAAATATTAAACCCTCAATATTAGAACTGCTGCGAGAAGATCAGGATTACCAATCAGTTGATGTCAATTGCAGTAAGGAAATTCAATTACGAGATGCATCGCAAAAATCCTCAAATAGTAATAAGTTTCGTAATCGAAACAGATGTGAGAAGATTTCCGGATGTTATGACGAGGCAAGTAGCATTAATAATATAATATACTTTATATATGTTTATATATATGTATAAAACTCTTATTTAGAAGGAAGATATACACGTCATACAATACGGCAATTTTACGCTATTTTACAAAAATGGAATTTTAAGTCGACGCCGTCTGGCAAGGGTAAATATCATAAATTGGAACTATGAAGAAAATTATAAAATTAACAAACGTGTTTTATTATCTTTTAGCTGCCAGTTAAAATACATACTGGTCTCAAGCATGTAATCAATACGGAGTTACCACAGGGTCTACAGGATTGTCTTTAAAAAGAAGATCTGTATAAATGTAACTCGTAAGATTTAGGAGAGTCCCCATACTCTCGCCACACTGAGCATATATACACATACAAATAATTTTTACATAATTTATAAAATTAAAAAAAAATTTCATTTAATTTAAGGTAAAAAGTTTACGCAGAAACTTTCAGGAACTTCTTTTGTCTCGACTGACGTGGAGAGGAATTCGCGTCATAGAAAATAAAAAAAGATTAACGAGATGCTAATAGAGAGATTGGCATCTAAAAATCATATAAACATAAAAGCAGTTTCGTGAAAGAGAAGCAATGACGATTTCTTTGAGTTTTAATTAATATAAACGGTTTCTACAGCTATAATGAATACAAAATTAATAATTATGACAATACTCGCTGTACACGTAACTCTAAGACGTTCGGATAAAGTTTATATATTAGTCTTTATGCATCAATTACAGACAAACATTGGCCAAATTATAAAAGTCATAAGGTCCCTTCTTTTTATCTTTAATCCCAAGTAATCTGCGCGATGCGACTAGAGCGAGAGTGGCTTGAAAGTCGCTCCTTAGAATTTGATAATTAGCTCTTAAACTGACACGTCTTAAGTTATTGGGTGGAACCGGACGACCACCAGCGAACGCAAATCTGTAATCATATTTAAATTATATAATAAAAATATTACGCATTTATGTAGCCATTTGCCTCGTTAATTTGATGATACGCACCTTATCTCGCGTCTTGGTCCTCTCAGGGTAGAATCCGGAAACGCCGTTTGTCGATCCCATAGCTTTCCGTTGTTAAGAAATGGTCTGACTTCAACGCATTTCATCTCGCCTCTAACGATGATGTTAAGAAATGGTCTGACTTTAACGTATTTCATCTTGCCTCTAACAATGATAGGCAGTGCGCTAGTTTTCTTCTTTCTTCTTTCTTTTGCATTATCATCACGATTAGCGAGTAAATAAGGTAATAACGAGTCTCCATAATGTTCGATTAAAGGGGTGAGGTCCAAAGAAGGACCTTGCGATCTCACGAGAGCACAAACGGTTAACTGTAATAATTACAAGAAAATTAATATAGGAGCAACACCCACACATAGGGATTTGAATAATATAATATCGATACTAACGGCTATTCGCTGCCAGATAATTGAACCAGAGGAGGCATAATAATATAAAATATTTTGTATGGAAAGCGTGTGTGCGGGCTCGTGTTGGAAAAATATAAAAGGCTGAATGCTCGCTAATAATTCCACCGACATTATCCTTTTCTTGTAGAGATCAATGCTTTCCGTTTCACTCTTTAAAAGCACATTCTCCAATGTTGGTATGTATCTAATTGGTTTATAAATATTCAAGGAATTAGTTTTTCATAAAAATATTTTGAAAAAATGTGCAAGACTTTTTTAAAATTTCGTATTACTTGTCGGCAATCGACGGCCAGCGAAGCATCAATTTGAGCACGCAATCTTTAAAGAGCACTTCTAAATTCGGATGTATGAAACTCTGACCCAACAGCAATTCCAGCAATAACTCCGTTAATTTATCCACCTTTGAGCGAACAAAAAGATTAAAGATATTTGCAAATATCTGGATACAATTTACAAGATGCGCATAATTATATTGTATTCGTTTACCGAAACTAAGTGATAGGGATAGACAGCTTCGCTGTTACTAGCAATGGCAATTATGAGTTGACACGTCCGCGTGGAAACACGTGTATATTGTGCGTTATTTGAGATTACCATAGACCTAGCGATAGACATCAACTTGTCGACGACTCCTTCGTCGCCTAAATGCACGTTGGTAGCACAGTCATTAAGTAAGACCTGGCAATATAAAAAAAAAACATTGTTTAATATTATTTAATAATAATAATATCAAAAAATATTTTATATCAACATGTATATGTATTTCTCTGTACCTGAAAGGTCTTTTGCGAGCCATTAAATAAAGTTTTCAACGCACGTTTGGCATAATTATGACGTGCTTCTGTAAGCTTCTTATCACATATTTCAGATTCTAGAAAATAAGAAAAAAATGCAATCAAATTAAAAGATTGTATCGAAATTAGCAGCAATTTCAAATTGAGATTATGATTTATCAAATTCATATAAATTGAAAGACTGATAAATCATAAAAATGTGTCAACTTTTAAAGAACTTGCCTTGCAGAAATGGTACGTTGGTTTGCGACAGGCATACTGGATCATTCATTTGATTAGTGAGATTAACGACAGATTCGCTAGGTACATAAACTTTCGCTTCGGTATGATACTCCGGCATGGATTCTGACGCACCAAAAACCGGATCAGCATCACACAAGCTGGTGATTACCGCATTTACATCCATGGATGTCAGGCGTCTTCTTTTACTGTGTCTCAATCTCGTAACACATTTCTAAAGCGGAACGAGCAACATCATATGACAAACAGCGTTATAAGTATTACTCTATTAACCCTTCAAGGTCCTATGCCAATCTGAATAAAGGGTTAAGTGTCGAATAGGAATCTTATTGTATTTACATGTAGAATTTCTCGCAAGCGATAGGAAGCATCTTCGGATAATCTCTTTAAAAGTGGATCTGGCAACGGATGCATGCCTAGTTCCTCGCCGATGGTAGAGATCCATTCGGTGCTGAGCATGGCGTACTTCCTCAAATTATTGTCACCTGTAATACTGCTGGTACCTGCATCTTTGTTGTTGTTATTGACGAACGAGCTGCCGTATGCCATAGATGCTTGATTCAACAGCTCCTTCATGATCTCCGCTTCTTCGTGTCCACGCAACCTAACTCGAGCCTGTCAAATTTACGCGAATACTTCGATCAGCTGTATATAATACAAGCAAAAACAATGCTTTACAAATTATGCACGTCACATTCGAAAGTCGTAGTACTTCTGAACGGAATTACCTTATCTTCACGAAACGTATCGCAGCGAATTCCATGCAGCGTCCACAATGATATTAAAAGAAATCTCGAGCTTAAATATAATTGCTCAGAAAATGCAGCTGCGCGGCACTTTATATTTTTTTGCGGTTAAAATAAAATAAATGTACACTTGGAGAGTTAGCGAGAGAAAGAAGAGAAATTATTGAGTCTAAGAGAGCTTCTGCTTAAGAGACTTTTGTACGTACAGGCCGGTATATTTTAATTCGATAGACGATAATAACAAACGTTTTCCTGAGATGATTATGTTCGATTACGCGACCTTTTGAGGTTAGGTTAGGCTAATGAATATCGAGCAACCTGCAACTATCGGAACGATATCTACCGGCGGTAACGTAAAGAGGTAATCTGACTCTCTTTCTTTCTCTGCTGCACTGCGTTGTACTTTCAAAGTGCGATAGATATTTAATTAGAGTTGGAAGGAAAAAGAGAAAAGGTGAAAAGTGCAGAAGGTACAGTTATAAGGAACAAACATTCTGCCTCTCTCTTTCTTCAAGGCAAAAATAAAGGCGGGAGACTCAGCAGCACGTTGATGGAAAGACAGGAAGCAGAAAGCAGAATAATAATTTACAGGGAATGACAGGTCGACGGTTTATTATCGTTACGTACGTATGTTTTATGTTTACGTTTTACCGTTATATACGTGTAATGCTAATTGCGTTTAGTTGTAAACACGCAATTCCAATTTGTTGAAGATCATTTGTTGATGATCTCCGAAGACAATCAACGAACCAGCTGATCAATGAAGACCACGATCTGGGTGAGATATGTACAACAAAAATAAATCGTCAATTCTTTACGTTTCAGGAAAAGCTTCGCTTAAGGGGAGAGATGCAGTAGAAACTCCTAGAGATACAAACGCTTTTACGATCTCCTGAGTAGCAGGTTTCAAGGGGGAACACAGAAATGGAACCCCCGCAGGAATTTCCATTTCCCTTCCCGGCGTACGAAATTCAGAAGCGATTTATGAGAGAGCTCTACGGTTGCTTGGAAAGCGGCAAGCTGGGTCTCTTCGAAAGCCCGACTGGGACTGGGAAGTCGTTGTCCCTCATTTGCAGTTCGCTCAGATGGCTGGTCGATCACGAGGGTCGAAGGAAACAGGAGTTAACTTCGACGATCGCGGAGATAGACAGCAAAATCAAGAGCTGCGAGAAGCCGTCGGATAATTGGTTTACGGTGCAGACGGAGCAGATAGAGCTTAATGCTAAGAAACAGCCGTTGCAGGCCAAGCTAAATGCGCTCCTCGAGCACGAAGGCGAGAGGGAGAAACTTAAGAAAATGGTTGAATCAAAAAAGGCCGCGCGAACGAAAACAACTGGAAAAATAAGGCAGCAACCCACGAAAAAAGCTCTGGAGTCGGATAAGACTGAGGAAGCGAACTCTGATATCTGTGACGTTGAGAAGGATCTTATCTTGGAGGATGGCTTGTCGAATTCGGAAAGTTCTGAGGAGGAAGATACGAACGAACCGTTATTTCAGAACACCAAGATTTTCTTCTGCTCCAGAACACATTCACAGTTGACGCAGTTTGTCCATGAATTGAAGAGGTCTCCCTACTCTCAAGACGTTTCTGTAGTACCGGTCTCGTCGAGGTATCTCTTATTTGTTTTTAATATCTCAATGTCTATCGCCTTGCTGTTTATTAACATTTTATTATTTTATTTCAGACAAAATTACTGCATCAACAAAAATGTCAAGAGATTGAAGCATATCAATCTGATTAACGAAGCCTGTCTTCAGTTGCAAAGAAAAAAGACTACCGTTAAGAAGGAAAAGGACTTAAAGAGATCAAAAGTCGCAAGCGGTTGCCCCTTCATCCCGGGTGATCAGAAACTGCTAATGGCTGAGGTTCTAACAAACATTCAAGATGTCGAGGAGATAACGCAAAGAGGACAGGAAAGTAACACTTGTCCATATTACGGCTCGAGAAAATCTCTGCAGAATGGACAGTTGATATTGGTGCCCTACAACTCAATTCTTCATAAGAACACCAGAACCAGTTTAGGAATAGACTTAAAGGGAAATGTATTAATAATAGACGAAGCTCACAATTTACTGGATGCCATCGAAGGAATGCACAGTTCTGTAATTACCGGGAGAAATTTGCTCCACTGTTACAGTCAGCTGTCGCAATATCAAAAAAGGTGTTGCTGCAGTGTTATACTTCTTCTGATTGTTATTAAAATGTTAGATAAATTTCTGACTGAGAGTAATATGATTGCAGATTTGAGTCTTTGTTCTCTGCTAGAAGCGTGATGTATCTAGGCCAGCTAAGTTTTTGCTTGAAGAAGCTTCTAACTCTCTTTGGAGCAACAACGAAGTCTCATCCCGGTGACGAGATCAACAAAACAATAACACCGAGATTATACAAAATAGAAGAGTTCGAAGTGCTTACGGAGATTGATACAGTAAACGTATTCAAACTACTGGAATTTGTTAAAGCTTCAAAACTCATTCATAAGTTACAAGGATTTGTCGAGCAGTACGGCAATAGCATAAAGATCAATGAACAAAGGATAAAGAAATCTGGCGTAACAGAATTTTTAAACTCGATTAAAAGCAATGATGTACCTTCTCAAGAAACTGTTAGCGTTACGGACGCGCCAAGTAACAACGAAGAACAGACGAGCAATCCATTAATGGCAATCTTAAGCTTCTTGGAGTGCTTAAAGAGCAGCTGCGCGGACGGCAGAATATGTGTTTTACCTAGCACTACTGTTGGACAAGGAATTATAAAATTTCTATTGTTAAACCCAGCAGCACATTTTCATGATATCGGTGAGAGCGTATTAAATACTTACTTGAAACTTGGTATATGCTTTCTCGCTTTTATTAAGTTTATTTTATTGAATACTTTGAATTTTTGTATTCCAAATGTAGTGAGAGATGCCAGATCTGTGGTATTAGCCGGTGGCACAATGGAACCAATGTCTGAATTCATAGATCAGTTGTTCTTAATGGCAGGTGCTACACCAGACAGAATTATGACATTTTCATGCGATCATGTGATTCCTAAGGGAAATATTATATCCAACGTCGTAATGCGCGGTCCAACTGGAGTTGAATTTGAATTTAATTTTCATAATCGACAAGATACAAGATTGGTAATAGAATCATTGTTATTTCTTCGATTACCGTATGATTTAGAGAGATGTATATGTAGACGTCATTTACACATATATAGAAATCTTAACATTTTAAATTTAGTTAGAATATTTACAGAGATTGATGCTTTGTTTTAGCTGGATGAATTAGGTAGAGCACTATTAAATTTATGTAATGTTGTACCAGCTGGAATAGTAGTATTCTTCCCATCTTACAACTATGAAGATACAGTATTTAAGCATTTAGATAAATCCGGTATTATATCCAAAATTTCTGCAAAGAAACGTATCTATCGTGAACCTAAATTAGCATCGCAGGTATTTTGTTGCACACTTACTAACAAATTACTTAATTATAATATTATTTAATTATTTAATTTAAATTACTAAATATATTGTCTGCAGGTTAATGTAATATTAGATCAATATGCACATTCTATCAAGAATCCACAATCCCCGTGTAATGGAGCGTTGCTGTTCAGCGTAGTGGGTAAGAGAATTAGAATTAGTATTATATTCTGTCTGCATATTTTATTTACATCAATTTTTTTTAGAAGTTAGAATAAATGAAATTTTTTTTAATTTACATGGTATTTTGCAGGTGGTAAATTAAGCGAAGGTTTAAATTTCTCTGACGACTTGGGCCGATGTGTTATAGTCGTTGGCTTGCCCTATCCCAATATTAAGTCACCAGAATTACAAGAGAAAATGAAATATTTAAACGAGCATGTCGTACGTATACTCAAATGCAAAATTCATCACATAGCTTAGAGAGAACAGTTTAATTTTGTGCGAGTTTTAATATCTTTTTTTATTTTTTTTTTATTTGTTTCTCTAGAAACCGGACGCCGGAAGTAGCTTTTACGAAAATTCTTGCATGAAGGCAGTGAATCAGTGTATTGGCCGATCCGTTCGTCACATCAATGATTATTCGACGGTTGTGTTATTGGATAAACGTTACTGTCATAAAGTCAAAGTACTACCTCAATGGATTCAACGCTCTGTGACGATCAACGATTCATTTGGATCTGTAGTTGGTAACATCGCAAAATTTTTCGCAGCGAAAAGAATCAAGAAAACTTAATCTGTGATAAAAACAGTGACTCGTCGGTAGATTAATTAGAAATGTAATATTACAAAATTAATAACAGTCGTTAAATAATAATATCTGTAATAGTTTTTCTACTTTTAGACTGATTGTGATAATTTAATAAAAATGTTTTTAAAGATATATAATATGTTTCAGTTATAGTACTTCATGATTGTAGCATCACGTTCGAATATTTTCTGTGCCAGGTGCAGGCTCGATGTTTTTCTACTTTAGAAATGCATCACATGTAATTAGCCAATTGGATGCCGAATTGATAAATTAAATCATGACAATAGATTTCTCCGGGTTGTAGAATAGAACAGGGAAAGTGCGACTGAAAGAAATTAACTTATGAATTAATGAATGCAGTAAGGAATGTGATTCTGCCATGTCTTATTCCCTTAACTACTCACATAATTAATGGCATTTGGATAGTTTTGCGGTTGAATGCTGAAAGCACAGTGCTTCACATAGCGAGCACCTTGCTTCCCCGAAATAAATTCCGGCGATTCGCGGTCAGATGTTACATCTTTTTCTATTTGATCAGTTATCTTTTCTTTCTCATTATCCTCCTCGCGATTCGGGCTGTTGTCATATTTAACGACAATGTCACTGTTAGCCTACAATAACGTCATTGCTTGTATTCTTTCAAGACGTGTTATGTATTTCGATTATCATATTCACGGTACCTCAGAAGTACTGCATAAACGGCCGCCTGTATAGAACTGTACGCCAGGCTGATTCGAATAAATCTCCAAGGTGCTACATATATTTATTTGTAATTCCAGGATATTACATTGTATCCAAGCTGCGAATAATACAAATATGAGCCTTACCGACCGCTTTTCAGGTGGACTGCTTGAGCGACGTACGCATTACCCCCGTGCCAGTTCGGCGTAACGCAGAAGTTATGATCGTATCCCTCGCCCGGAGGAACCTGTCGCTTACGCAAATTCATTGTTTTTTTTTTTTACACAAATTATTAGATCAGGATTAATCTCTACTGTATAATTTGTATAAACTTCAATTTGATGCCTTCTCAATACAGCTCTCCAGAAGTTTCGGTACACGCAAATCCATGACGGTTCCTCCGACTCCTCGGATGCCGCCGGTTGGTATCGGATCCGTGTAATCCGCGAAGGTCCAGCGATCGCAGTTCAATGAGATCTTGTGCTTCACCAGTTCCTCCTTACCGGCGTCCTATATTGCACCCTAATAAATAGACTTGCCCTACTTATTGGTATTTGAAGCTAGAACCATGTTATTTTCTGATTTAGAAACAAAAGCAATTAAAATATTGCAGTTTTAAATCATTGTTGTCCGCATTTCCAGAATGGTTCCAGTTTCAGCTGAGTTGACATTGCACAGAGTGCTTGTTAATTACATGTCCAGCGAGGTTGAACAAAGAACCGTGCGAGATGTTCACTATGGTGGAGTTTGTCGTTGTCGCCCGGATACCTATTTCCAGCTTATTGTCAGGCGTCAACCTGAATCTCACTGTGCTCAATACTGCGCCAGGATATCCCTCTTCGCCGTCTTCGCTTAAGTAAGTCATGACGACTGAGCAGCCGTCGATATGCGACTCCCACAACCGCCGGCCAAAGCCCTTCGTCTGGATACGAGACATTTAATGTCATTAGTTCTCGATGAGAATGGTGAGACGACGAGCGAACTTACGCCTCCGTGCAGATGATGCTTGCCGAGATCGTTTCTCGTTAGTTGATAAGTTTTGCCTTTAATGACAATGCTGCCGTTTCTTATGCGATTCGCGCATCTGCCCAATATACATCCTATAAACGGATTAATTTGGGGATTCGTATAGCCTGTAAAACGAAACTGTTAGTTACGAATGGAATTAACTGAGATCGTCAAGATTATGACGAACATGATGAACAAATATGTATGTAATTACGTCAAGAGTTCGTACTCTTCAAATCATCGAAACCGAGCACAACATCCGCGACACGGCCAAACTTATCGGGATACTTCAAAGAAACGATTGTGGCACCCCAGGAAATGACGACAATCTCTAAGCGATTCTTATTGATCATCGTGTACGATTTTACTGGCGTCAACTGGACTCCTTTACTTTCAGCTTCCTTATAATATTCTTTACTATCATAACGACGTATCTTATCCTCCGCAGATTCTGTAATTAAGATTGGCTTTTACGTTATTATTACCACCACAAAAAAATAGGCTCTCTCTATGAAATAACAAAACACCGGCATAAATTTCTCCAAAGATTCCCTCCGTAATTGCAATATCCTTGCAATTGCAATCGTAGGTGACCATTATGTTTCGCTTCTCTCCTTAACGTTATTAATTATCCAGTTACTGTCAAGCCATTTGTTACGTACGTAACGTGATAAAAACAAGAAATTTTGCTGTTACAGCCTCGTGCCTATATCAAATGATTTGTGGCATTAGTTTTTGTAATGAGAATAATCATAAATAATAGGTTAAAAAATTTTATCCCAACGTTTTAAATACTTTTCGTTGTTTCGACATGAGAAAATCACAGTTTTTACCTATACTGTGGTAAAATGATCGGCCTATATAACTGTGAAAATTATTTTGCAGATTGAGCTGTATTGTTGGACGACTCTAGATTGTTTAAGAGTTATTGTATTTCGTAGGAATATGGAAAACATAAAATGATCACTCAAAAAGCTAAAACTTATTGATGCTGTTATTTGAAATTATTTATTAATAATATTAATAAAATAATGATAAGAATAAAAGTAAAAATAAGAGTAAGTATAACATATTATTTATAATTCGTAAAATATTACCATAATAATAATATAATATGCTAAAATAATAAAATAATAAACCTACTTTTTTATTATTATTCTTATTATTATTATTATCATTTTTATATATACTCCAGTTAATATTTATAATTTTTAATATTTATAATTAATATTTATAGTGTAATGTACAATACTTGGAAAAATACATGAACTTTTAGTGCAGGTCAGACATCATACAGACACTTCTCTTGTATCTCGAGTTCTTCGTTAGGAGAGACAACACATGAAAAAATCGAAGACAGAATATATTATTACGATATATTTTCCGCATTTAAACAATCGAGTTCTCGGGGATTCGTCGTGCAATTAATATTCATTCGTTCGTTATATCATTAATTCACTTCCTGCTTGTAGATAAAAACGATCCTGTGCGACTTCGCTCGTCGTGCTTGGCAATCTGCACATCGTCGCCCAGAAGATCGGTAAAAAGATTCGATTCCCGAATGGAAAGTAAATATTCCCGAACTCGCGCAAAATCGCCGCGTGAAAGTTATGTTACATTGAAGAATTTCCCGTCGAAAGCTTTGGATTTCGCGATGTTTCTCGTTTACTTTAAGGCGCGCGCACCGAAGCGATTCATTATTCTCACTTAAATACACGTGGAACACATTGCACTTAGCTTAAACATACTTATAAACTACAGAGTTACTCCAATGCTTAAACAAATTGCCTGCGAGTTGCTGTTACGTCCTACATTCTTTACAGCTCATGTATTACAAAGGAATACTGACGGGAGAAAAAACTCAATTTCGCGTATTTATATATGTATATACCAAACTGTGATAGCCCCGCGTCGATAAATCGCTTTTATATATTTATGAAATACATTACGTTAAACTTTCTACACACGCCAGAAGCGTACAAATAGGAGCTACCACAGCACACAATGTGTGTACATCGATGAGACAATTCGTTTTACAATTAATCGTCTTGGTCGTGATCGTTATTGTACAATTTGCTAATTCGCGCAAGCGGCATGCAATCTCGATACAATCCGTTACGTCGTAAAGTATATATATTTACACTTTTTAAATGCGACATCATAAGAAACAGCAGTTCAGAGAGCAACGGGATCTTGTCGTATCATATGTTCCACGAGGCTGATGAGTATTTTCCTTTTTTTTGTTTCAGCGCCTTTGGCCGGTGATGTCCACTCGTTAGGTCTAACTAAACTAGTGAGGACTACATTGTAAACGTGAGTTGCGTATCATATATATTACGTAAAAACAAGTGTTAAAGAGAGTCTCGCATTACGTTTGTGATTTACATGTTTTTTTCCCCTACATAAATGTCATAAATTTATCTTGTATCAAAGTGCGTCGTGTATGTAACAAATGGCAGAGAGAAGGAGGATAAAAGAATGTAAAAATATTTATGCAACACGTGCATGGAAAGTGCCCTATTACGCACGCTACGCGTGCGTGATAGACCACTTTCCAGGCACTTGCAACATAAAATAGGGAGTGTAAGCCGTGTGTAAAGATGAAAATTCCCGGGTGTGGAGTTTACGCACGAGCCGAAGGCGAGTGCGGTAACCGCACCCGGGAATTTTCATCTTACCTCACTTGTTACACAAATAACTATTAATATTGTATATTATCGAATATTTGATATTGAAAGCATTAACCGGTTTAAAGGAAGAAATTTATTTCTCTTATATAATTTTTTAAGTCCGATAAACTAGAATTATATGTATCAAGAAGATATCTAAGAAATTATAAATTACTATCATTGGTATATATTATTAATATATATCATACGAACGATACATGATAAATTTATTGAGTTTTCTTTACAGTGAGATATATTTATAGACTGATATATATAGAGACCTCAGTTGCGTTTGATATGATACAACGTAATTTATCTCATTAAATATATAGGTATATATATATATATATATATATGTATATATATAATTTTTATATATACACATATACATATATAGAATTATTCTGAACACACGTTTCTTATACACGTTCTGCCCAACGAGTCAAACATATTCCATAAATGCTCTCTAATAAAGTATAAAATCGGATTCTTATCTCCTTAATCTCTAGGCTAAGGTGTTTGTTTTATATATATAAAAAATAAATATAGCTTAGACTAGCACTGTTGGCGACGGATACGCCATTACACAATAATAGCTGCCGCGAACATTTTATATTTTTGTATAATTAAAAATTATATAATTATTATCGTATATATATGTATATAAACAATTATTCTCGAATATCAGCATTCACTAACACTTCATCAAACATTTTCTCTTTCACTCTTCCTCTCGCTCTCCCTCTCTCTCTCTCTCTCTCGATTATCTTGGAAGCATTTTGAATTTCTATGTGTCACTTATTTAACGTATTTAAGTACGTGATAGCACCGCAGAAACCTACCTTCGCACAGCGTAGAAAGACATACCCATTAAATGTATTGCAAGAAAGAGATAATTATTAATTAATAAAAAAATTTCGCTCGCACCATATAATTCGCGCGTTGTCCATATAATTCGATAAAGTTATTACGAATACGAAAAAAGAAAAATCAATTAATATTGCAAGTTTTTTATTGCAATAAATAAATTGCGCAAACGCGATCAATTTGATGGATCTCCGTTTTTCTGTTTTCTAAGAAAAACTTGGATGCATCTCCATCATATTCGTAAAATTGTCAGAAAGATTTTATCGATGACTGATTTTGTTCTTTCTTCCTCGTTGCAGCCAAACGAATCGTCCACGATAAAACTAAATCAAAGAAATTCTCTTTCCTCCAACACATTTCGTGTACATCGCACAGCATACATCTACAATACTGATGATCGTCATTTAGGAAAACAGTGTAAACGAGAAGCAGCTTTCACGACGAAGAAGATAAAAAAGGATCCGTGACTTCGTTATACGCTACGTGAGGTTGATACAGTACAAACAAGACGTTTTGATTGCTTCGAATGCGGCGTAAAGATAGCGTAAGTAACTTTGATTAGTTTACAGATTCAAAACTAAATTCGAGCATCTCCCCATCGTCTCGTAATGCCAATAAATTAAGATTACGTGCGTCGCGTTCTAATTAATTACTCAGCGATCCGTATGTACATTCGGGGCATATAGAGCACGCAGCACGGGGTACACACAAGCGTTTCTTAATATCTCCTGAATTATATCCAATCAATGAAAAGTAACGGAGACTTGCTCTCCCGTTAGACACGCTTGACTCGGTATCCCGTATTGCCGAAGATGCTTATATTCGTTATTGGTGCAATAATTGGCGCGAAGATATCCACGAAGCTGACCCCCGGCCTTTGTCGTCAACATCTTTCGGAGGAGCGTCGTAGATATCGTACAACACGCGTCAGCTGTATAAGGAATGTATGAGTAGTCGCTATTTAAACAGTAATAATGATTCAGCGCTTTCTTTTCTTCTATATGTACAACGATTGTTAGAAGGATCGTTCTTTCTACAACAACGATCCTACAGCGAATATACCTCGCGTTTTGCACAGCCGCATGTTGTGTATTTATTTGCACGCGACTTCACGCTTTGAATACTTTCTACAGACGCTTAAATTGCTCATAAAGCGGCGCGCTGTTTTCATAAGGTACAAAAGAAGCGTGACAGCTGCGCAAGGCGCGACCATTTAATCACGTCCGTCGCTACGACACATAATAAATTCACGTTTAAACGTCGAAAATGCTAAACTGTACATGTCCTCCGCATTCGTAAGCGTACTATCGATCGTACGCTTTGTCGATTGACGTTAATCGAGGGGTGGAAGTACCTGGGTGGATGTATTAATCGTGTACATCTCCAATTGTGCATTGCAACAGAACGACGATGAACGTATCATTGAGCAGTGGCACTATTTTAATAGCGGCACAGCAACATTTTCCTTTTCTTCAGCGTACGAGTCTCTAAAGTTACAGAGAAAAAGAGAGAAATCTCGAAATAGAAGTGTCGAAAAAAGTGAGTACATAGAGAGACGATAAAGAGTTTTGTCTAATTTCGTCAATCTAGCCCATCGCGCGAGAGACGAAGGAAAATGGAATCGTATCGCTATCAAAATGACAATGGTACAACTTCAAATACAATTACAATGACTAGTTACACTGATTGCGATGAGAAGGAGAGAGATTATGTCGGAAATACTGTAGATTAATACATAATCGCGGATAAGTTCGGCTAAGTACATAATACTACAACTAATACTTTGTAGCTGTCCGTAGCTTGTAAAGTAGCATAAAATTAGATTATAAATAGTGATTGTTCTTCAGTTCGAACCGATTGATTATCCATCTAAAACAACCGCGTACGTCCCTATTAATATACAATACTCGAGCTGCCGTTGCATTATTTATAATTAACGCGAATTGCTTGTTCAAGTTGCACAAAACGCACGAAAATTTATACAATTTTTCACGAGACTGCTGCCAGTACTTTCTAATAGGAAAATTAAGAGTAAAACTGCCAGTA